ACGCCGCCACCGCAGTTTGTCCTTCATGAGCCTTCGTAGACAAGATGGCGGCGCAAGATGGCGGCTGCCTGTAATGGCAACCCGCGACCATGGAGATATGTTGTCTGCAATGATTAGACATGTTTTTTATTATTGTCATTAGTGATTATCTCAATTTCGGCTAAAAGAATTGACAAAATCCTACACACTGTGCCTTTAAGAAGGGCATGGACATTTCTATTTATTGTATCGAAAAAATATCGAACCCAATCGTGAATTTTCTGTGTCGTTGCACACCTAATAAGTAGATAAAATAGATGCTTAATGAGACAAAAAGGACACCAGGGACTTAAAAAAGACACCTGAGGAGAAAAAAAGAACACTAAAAGACAAAAATGAGCTTAAAAGAAGAAAATTGATGCAAAATGAGACTAAAAAAAACAGGAAAGATGCATCTAACGACTAAACATGTCACATAATGAGACACAACTAGAGCAGGTATGCTAAAGACTGTTTGAAAGAGCACAAAGTATCTGAGCTATTTTAATATTTTTTTTAGTTTACTGAAGGTTTTAATTTATGAACAGCTGAAATTTTACAGCAAGAAACCAGATTTCTTCTTCTTCTTCTTCCTAACGACTCRTTTCTTTCGGCTCGTCTCAGACGTCACCAAGGAGAACCTGTTCTGCATCCACCAGAGCAGCACGACCCCCCCTCACTACCAGCTCGTCTACCAGGGACACATCTACAGTCTGCCGAAGGTGACTGCAACAAGCCCCCACACCGGGGTCTCCTTTCACCCCGATCCCTGTCCACATCAGTCCAAAYAGTGGACCGGGGTTCTGGTTCGGTGAGATCAGAGTATGTTGCTGGTTTGTGACCTGTTCTCTGTTACAGGGCAGGAACAACCTGTTCCACACAATCCTCATGTTTCTCTACATCATTAAGACCAAAGAGTCCGGGATGCTCGGGTGAGTTCTGCTGAAATTCTATTCAAGCATGAAGCTCAAATTACTCCTTAATCTGAAAATTATAAAGTACTGAAAGATTAAATGTTGCTTCTTTTTTTTTTTTTTAGGAGGGTAAATCTGGGCCTCTCTGGTGTGAACATATTGTGGATATTTGAAGACTGATGTTTTATTTTTTTATTTTATTTTCCTCAGTGTTGTAAAGCTCAACTTTGAGGCCATGTTGGACATTTTCCTCATTGTTTTTTGTACAAACTGGCAACATTTTCATTAACATTTTAGTCACAGTTCTTTCAAAAATACAAACCATAAAAAGGTTTTTTTTATATATTTGTTTTGCTTTTTGACTTTGTAATTCAAGAATGTACCAGCATGTCAGCCTATCTGATGCCTCAGATTTGTCTACTTAATAGCGAAGGGCTCCGACCCATGAATCTGAATGTAAATAAAGTTTCATCTCAGACATGTTTTTTAATAAGAGGTTGGGAAAAAAAGCTGATATTAAAAAGGAAACAACTTTAACCTCTTGGTGGCAGCAGAGCTCGTTTTTATGCTTTGACCTTTAATGATGTACCCATTTTGTCAGGATGTGCCTCCACAGATGCTCTGTTTTGTAATATATCATTTTACACTGTAGAAAATTTTTTCAGATCATTTTTATTTAATTTTTGCACAACAATACATTTATTTTTAGTGATTAGTCCATGAACTTTTAAAGATTTTAGAACATTCCTGCATTGGATATTACATGAAAACATGTAAAATTTAAATCTAAATCTCTAAACTGAAATTGTTTTTGCATATTTAGGTCGTTGCAAGTGCAATGCTTGCACTGTAACCAGGCGTTTTTGTGCTGGGTAATGTAGGCAGAATTTTATTTCAGGACTGTTTAAAATGTTAATTTAAGACTATTTTTGTTKAATGAATTGTTATTCTTTTCATCCAGAGGAATGTGTTTGAAAAGTTAAGCTGTTTAATCGCTGTTAAAGAGCTGTTCAGTGTGGAAGTTTGAAGAGCTGATTACAGAGAACTACAAGTCCCAGAATGCAACGGGCGGATGTTGCCGCTCACATCCGGCTGGATCTGCTATCAGTCGAAAGAAGGACTCTGAGAAACTGCAGCGATGTCAGTCCAGGTCGTGGCAGCGAAAATGGCAGAGGTCGAGCTCAAAGACGTGTCCCCCGGCAAGAACCTGCCGGCCGCGTCCCCGGTGACACCCACGTCGGAGGACAAGACCGTCGGCGGGAACGAGGCCGGCTCGTCCGCCGCTACGTCCCCCGCCGCGGAGCCCTCCGCKAAAGCCGCGGAAGGCAGCCGGGGCTTGCTCACCCCGAACGCCGCGAAGATGCCTCAAGCCTCGGCTCTGAAGCATTCGGACACGCAGCAGAACGGCGGGGAGGCTTTTGTCAACCGGGACGGAACCGTGGCCGAGGCTCCGCGGATGAAGAAGGTAAACGATTTAACATTTACTCCCCCCAATAAAACAAGCTGTAGTGAGTGGGCTTTTTTTTTGGATCGACACCAGGACCTCGCCGCATTGAGAGCTCGCGCTGGGAAAGCAGGCATTGTGTCGATGCTAACAGGCTAACTGGTCCCAAAAGATGATTCATCTGCGCCGGTTAAAGCTTTTAATTACACCCGACTGGGCTAACAGCACGGTTAATGGTGCGGTTGAGGCAAAAAACACTTTTAAAATAAATATTAATTTAGCTTTAAATGTRATCTATGGTGTAAGAGTGTCAAACTGTTCTCAAAGTTTTGATAAGACTTTAGCTAAATCTAATTAAAAACAAAATTTTTGTTACAGGTTTTCAGTGTTTGCTCATAGATGTCTGAATCTCAAATATAAGATTTCAAAAACAGTAAATGCATAATATAATGACAGAACTCCAGTTAGGTGATGTCATTGTTTACTTTTCTTTTGAATCCTCATCTGCTGCAACATGAAACTTTCAAATTATACAGTTTTTATTTTCAACAAGACTTCCCTCATTTAAAGCTGATGCTTTAGATGTTTGTGGTCTAAATTAAAGTTTAGTCTATTTCACTAAAAGTCATGTTAAAGTCAGATATGAACACCAAACATTTGTTCATATTTATCAGGWTCTCAAAAGTCTCAGCTGATATTGAGGCAAAGAGTTCCTGTTTGTGTGATAAATCAGAGGTCAAGCTGCTGATGGTGAGAAAACGTTTAGAAACCGTATGATTGTGCAGGAATGAAGTGAAAGTGAAGGACAGTGTGATAGGACTGTGCTTTTAGCCTATTTTAACTCAACATCTGCTGAGCTGACAGACTTTGTTGCCATTTTTTGTGTTGGATAATGTAGATTAGTATTGACGATCATCTTATATTGGATTGACTTGAAGAGAATTTCTTTAAAATCCAACAAGTGGTTCATGAGATATTTTGCTAACAGAGGTGACTCCAATAGTTGTAGTTTAGTTGTGGTRGCCATCTTGGATTGGATTGACTTTTAAAAGTTAGCTTTGTTGTACATTCAATGGGAATTTCAATGAAATCCAACCAGTGGTATGAGATATTTTGCTAACAAACACACAGACATGGTCAGTGGTGGGCAACACTCATCTAAAAACTAGTTCCACTAGCCCTAAAACACCAACTCAAATATTTAGGTCCCCTAATTCTAAAGCACTAACTCAAATATTTAGGTCCCCTAATTCTAAAGCACTAAAATAACCCAGTCAACCCATGAAACATTGTTCAACAGACAACATGAGTCACATATTGTCATGCTGCTCTTTTAATACTTATCATTGACATTCCACAGCTGTATTTGGGTTCATATATTGTCAATATACACTCACCGGCCACTTTATTAGGTACACCAACGGTTTTGTGGTCATAAAGGGATGGACATGGTCAGCAACAATACTCAGGTAGGCTGTGGCATTGCAACGATGCTCAATTGGTACCAAGGGGCCCAAAGAGTGCCAAGAAAAGATTCCCCACACCATGACACCACCACCACCAGCCTGAACCGTTGATACAAGGCAGGATGGATCCATGCTTTCACGTTGTTGACGCTGTAGGAATGTGGAACTCTTTTAATTATATTTTTGTGGTCTGGTAATAATTAGTTCATTATGTGTTTAATGT